CACAAACACACACACAGACAACCCCGTAACAATATGGGTTTTGTACTGCTGTTACACAGCACAAAATGCATAATAAATAACGACGCGCACCGGAGTCGCCGCTGCAATCATGCGTTTTGCACAATTCCGCCTGTTAACGGTTTTCACTGCTTTGCACTTTGGTCTGTACAAAAATAGCTGGAATGCTGTCGGCTTCTTAAGTTGCGAAATTTTTCACCGAATTTTCCACGTACCGGTACGTGAAAGCTGAATTTGAAACTTCGAAGGATTAATATCCTCACACAATTCAGTTTCCCAATTTTCTGGCTTTCGAGTGATTCTTGCGACAAAACTTTCACGTGTTCGTACGTAAGACCTCGGCATACTCAGGAACTGAATTTGAGATTGTGCAGCCTCTGCTTAGGTAGGAAATATCTCTTGAAATTTTCAGCCTCCTAGCTCTTCTGGCTCCCGAAACAATGACTTTTCTTGTCAAAACTTTTACGGATACGTCAAAAATTCGCAGAGTCGTATGTGGGCAGGGGATGCCATGCAAAAATTTCGGCTTTCTAGCTTTTGCAGTTCACGAAACAATAATCTCCCTACCAAAACTTTCACAGGGGCGCACGTGCTATCTACGAGTGCGTGAAGGCTGAGTCCAAATTTGCGGGGTGGCAAGTTGGTAGAGGACATCACCTAAAATTTCAGACTCTCAACTTCTGCGGTTCCCGAGATAATAATTTTCCCCGCCCAAATTTTCACGGAACCGTACATGTTGCCCGCGAGCACGAGAAGGCTGAATTTAAATTTTCTGGGTCGCACGTGGGCAGGGGGCATTACGTACAGAATTTCAGCTTCCTAGCTTCCATGGTTCCCGAGTTAATGATTTCACCCGTCAAAACTTTTACGGGGCCATACCTTTTTTCCTGCGGGTACCGGGAGGCTGAATTTAGATTTGCGGGTTCACACGCGGGTGGGGAACACTCTACAAAAGTTTCAGTGGCCTAGCTTTTGTGGTCCCCGAGTTGAAAGTGCAGGACAAAATCTGGAACACACACACATACACACAAACTCACACAGAGACAACCCCGTGACAATATGCGTTTTGTAATGTTGTTACACAGCACACAACGCATAACAAACTGTCCACAATTATCAGCAGGACAAGAAGGCGACTGCTACGACACAGCTGTACATATTAAACCCAGCTGCGCCTTCAGCCAAACAACCCCTAATTTGACAGTTGAACAAAGCAGAACACTGGATCAACTGAGACAACACGGACAGTCATTATGCTATAAAAGAGGTCATACTCCGTCTACGATAGCATAAAAGCTTCACAGTGCTCTTTTGAAGTATGTGGCCATAATAACGGTTTTGACATCACTCTTTTTTTCCACACCCGAAATAATTAACATAAGCAGTCACAGTTAAGTGAAGAGACGTTAAAAGCATTTCTCCCAGCTGATATTCTAGACCTATGGCGGATATCCTGTGAAAATTAGAGAGATTTTCATTTTGTTGTAAATTTAGAGGCTGATGAAAATTTAGACGTCGTCAAACCCATCTCAAATCACTGGGAAAAGACCGCCAATGCCAACTCGATTTTGTTGAAAAATCTGTGGAAAGGAATTCAAACTGCAGAGCACTGATTTATGCCCATACAACTTAACAAAATAAGGGAGCGTAAACAACCAGTAGAATTCATAATTTGCAACTAAAACTTTACCCAGAAATTTTTCATTAACCAAAAAATTTTCTTCACCTGATTGTATTCACAACATTTCCACAGTAAAACCAGAAGTTCTTGATGAAATGTTATCTTCTTCGTGGAATTCGGCAAGTATGTAGCAACCAGAGGATTCGTCAGCAAACGTGTCATACCTTTCAAAATAAATTCGAAATCTTCCTCCCTATGAATCCTTGACAGATAATTGATGAAAAAATTGTCCGCATACTCATTTTTCTGGAAATATGATTTTTAAAAAAAAGCCACTACATATGCACATACCAAGAATAAGTACGGTGAGGGCAAGTAATGCTTGGGCTGTATATCTGTTAGCTTTTGGGAATACATTTCATTAGTGTTTGATGTTTTGGCTGGTCAGGTTATCAACGATTTCTACAGGCGAAAGATAATGCGACATGGTGTTTTCTTGAGCTGCTAGACAACAGAACGAGTGTAAAGTTGGCCAGCATTCTTTCGATTCCGGCTACGAGCTCCACAGGATGATGGGCATTCAATTCGCATGAGGAAGAGATACTCACCTTGTCCTGCGGTTGCGTTTCATTGTCCAAGCAGACAATCAGCACTTGTAGCGCTGCTTGTACAAGTGGTTCTCGGCTATCCGTAAAAAGTAAATAATTGTACGGTACACCGTAACCAACCGGGTCATAAGCGCAAACGACATTTAAGAAAGACGTGAAAAGCGGCAAAACATGACGGTTTTCTGCAGACGTGAACCGTGCTATCCATCGCATTCTGTTCACATCTGCAAATAAAGAAATACAAAACAATCAGCACTATCTCTACAACGAAAGGACCAACTGCAAGCATCGGCTCGACGAGTCCTTCTTTCACGTATTATTACTAAACAAGACCACCAGATCAGACTGCGCTGTCGCTGTAAAGCCCTGTATTTCGGAAATGAACCCAAACACCCAGAGAAGCAATGACCTGTTTTCCCACAAAAATGCAAGTTTGGAGCCTGCAGATGTCATTATCACCGGCTAAACTTGAGAAGAAAACATGAAAGCGCAAGTTTGTATCCTAAACTGTGCAATGGAAATGTAAAACCTTTACCAACAACTGGAGCGTAGATGACTTCCGAGAAGCAGGTAAGCAAAAGTTTAAGGATCTCGGTTCGACGCTGATCATGCTCAGTAATTTGTGGCGGCCTTGTCGCAAATCCAACGCCTGCTTCCCAGATATATTCACAGCTGTCTATCGCACTTAAATCGTCAGACCCTTCCTGTAGAATAAAAGTAACTGTAGCTTGCAGGGTTCCCGGTTGGAATGCTTCTTAAAGCGAGCAATAAATAATCAAAACAAAAAAGTGTGAGTTATTAAGAGTTTATGTAATTGGTCGCCTTCACATCACACTCATCTTTCGTCCGGACTAGT